ACTCCGACTCCCACAGAACAGCCTGACTAACTCTCAAGAGGCAGAGCTACAGCCCTGTGGTACAGACTTTATATTAATGGAGGAAGGGATTGTTTACAGTCGTACATGAAGCACACTGAAGAGACTTGGTGAGCTACAACAATGCGGCCGCTGTACTGGCTGTGGCCCCGGACGGCCAAGAGTGAGAAGCATCACCTCCGACCACCATCTCAGCGAGCTGCACGCACGCAAAGTTTATTGATGAATATCGGTCACATAACCCATCATCTGTTAAGTGTTGCAAAATTATATGAAGGGGAAAAGCCAAATACTGGCTCCTGTAATTGCCCTTGGGTCCTGATTAAACAGAACCGTGGGGCAGTCGTCTTTCTACCGCCTGATGACAAACAAGAGCATGGATTCTTTATGTACGCTGCTGAACAGTTGCAGAATGCGACACAAAACGCTCACTTTAATTACTTAAAGGCAAACCACATTGCGGTCCAGGCCTAACCGAAGCTTTAGGTCTTTCATTTCGCTGCACGTTTTCCCGTTAAAACGACCCGCTGCTTTCTGCCAGACTGCATTTTGTCTTTTAAAAGCAATCATGAAGAATGGAAACACACAACAATTTTTTTTTCCACTACACAAAATTTGTTTATATGTGATTTCTTTCAACCGAGCAATTTCACTCGTTTTGTTGGTTTTTGTATTGTGTTTGCCGTAAGTGCCATGCCAGTCTTAGAAAGTCCTGACACAACAATCTATATCAGAAGAACATAGTGTGAGCAGCAACTCAGATTATAAAAATAAATAAAAAAATACCTTTTCCACCTTGCAAGTTAATATTTAGCAAGTTCAATGAACCGTGTGTAAAGCTTGCTTTACTGGTCTTAATTGAATCAAGTATGGCAAAATTAAAGCAGTAGTATTTAATAAATGTGTAAAACACACAGGAACGAACAGTGGATCAGATTTTATACCAAGGATCCAAATAAATATGGTGTTCTCATTTGGCTCCATTTTACTGCATTCAGAAAGGCTGTCCTGACAGTTCTTTGACCATCAAATGACCCCAGAGTCAACTCTTACTTGGAAACAAACCAGTTTGTTTTTGCTAAAACTTAAAGGCAACATTTATCTAAAATGTGCTTCTTTTTAAGGTGAAATGCTGATGACAGGGGTATCCAAAGACCTTTCCAAAAAATCGCGAGCCTTATCACTGGAGATGCGAAAGGCAGCTTACAAATGCTCTTTGTCAGCCTGTGTGAGTCATTCCCAGAGGGACCTGGAAGTACAGATTCCCTGCCAGCTGCGTGGGCCTGCGCACAAAGACCGCGGAGGCCACCATAGCACTCGCTTTCAAAAAGGCAGAGACTCTTCAGCTATCCAGATGAAGGAAATGAACCCTGCCCAGGGAGTTCAGGGGATGAGGCTAAGTGTCTCGCCTCATCTTCCAAGAGCATTACCATGGTTCTGCAGACCCTCAAAGCTTTTTAGGGATAACCCAAGATCCGCAAGCACTGTCAAGATTGTGCAAAATTATGTATGAAGCGACTAGTATGTGCTGACAAGACCCACAATCCCACAATCTGACACCTCCAGGTGTGTATCTATGCCTGCGGTTGGTTTGATGCATCAAAGAGGCCAGACCGCTCTACTTGGGTGTCTGAAACCCCTAACGTGCAAACGAAAACTTCTTTCATTTGTCAAAACAGGAAGTATGTGTGTACACGTAAAAAGGGAGCAAATAGCAACAGGTCTAGTTCAGGTGTGCAAATCTCTGGTACGCATTTATTAATCTGGATGTAATGCTCTTTAACATATGGAGTCTGACACTAATCATGATTTTTCCAGTACTTAAAAATGCAATTTATTTCACAATCTAGATGATTACTACTAACTGGAAGTGTTTAAGGTATTTTGTAACCTGTTGGTGACGTTAAGAAAACAAAAGCTGCAAACATATAGCCAAATCTAGTACAGAATTCAAAACAATAGAAGGAAAATGTGGGAATCCTAGTAACGTATACAATTTACATTCTACAGCCAGAAGCCTCTCACCAGCATCTTAAGACCCCATAAGGAGGGAAACTGGAGGAGGACAAGGTAAGAGAAGATGAAGAGGCAAGGTGTTTGGGGGGTGATCAGGAAGGACTGTTTGCTTTGGCTAAGTGTTCCAAAGAACAAAAAAGCAATGTGAAAATCGTTCCTTGATGGAACATTCTCCTTACGTGACTACAGGCAACCCATCCCATTAGAGATGAGAGGCTGTTTCACTGCTACCATCCAAGAAAGGCACCCACAGCCTAAGCTGGAGACTTTAACCAAGCCCTGAGCAGCTCTACAAGCGTGATGCAGTTCCACGCCCCCAGCCTCCACTTACATCACCTCCACCTTCAGTTAACACACCACAATCCCAAGAAATATTTGTGAGGGAAATCAAATGTCCAACACTTCACTGGCATCATAAGCTGTGACTTCCTACTGCACACAGACAACTGCAGAAGCATGAGCAAAAAGGTGGGAATATGAAATGGTATTAATGTCAGTTGCTTCAAGGTAACTGCTCCAATTTTACAAATACTGAAGTCTGCAAAGAAGAAAAGCCAATCTGATATTTAAGTTCTCTATGATCTGCTTTTCACATTCGACAGCTGATGCTGAATAATGTGGGATGAAAGAACCATCAATTTAAACTTAAATCTTGTGAGGATTTTCAGTCAGCTAAGTGCCTTCTGCTCGCTCAGATTTAGAAGTACTATTACATACAGTAAAAGCTCTCATATCTGATAGTCAAAAAAATTGGCAAAAATCTAAAACATAAGGATAAAAATTAAATATTCATAATAAGTAATGACACCTCTATTAAACATTTACAAACTTAAAATAACAAAGAACAACATTAAGCAATACATGTCAGTTCCGGCACATTCCTACAGTGTGGCACGCTTTACAAGTCGGATTACAGTAGTGTCACTGCAACATGTTAAAATAACAGTACAATAATCATTAGCGTGTGCATAAAAGAGTAACAAACCTGTTATAATCCGGTGTTTTTCAAGAGTAACATTCAACTACCTGAAAAATTCAGCTATCTGGCAGCGCCTCAGTCCTGACTTGTCATACGAGAACTTTTACAGTATAATCATACCGTTTTCATATTTAACAATTAGCCTGACACTAATAGAAACCTCCACTCCTTTGACAATTTTTATTTTATAGCTATTTTGACGATTAGCTATTTAAAACTGATGTACATTACCCATGCAGACAGTCATGAAGTCCTAATCTTAGCTTGAAACACTGACTATGAAGCTAGTGTTTCATACACTCCTTGTTTAAAGAGGGCTATGACCTGTCCTCCCAGGCCAGACACACAAATGCACCAAACACATCCCCTTTTCATGGAAGTGGAATAAACTGTAGTGCCATCATTGAAATTCTGTTGCAGGAAGCCGATGAACACAACTATTCATTTGTAGGAATGACGCAGACTGATTTTCTCCATGAAATCATCTTAAAATCAGCAAATGACAGGTAGTTATCAGCAAGCCCCTAGATTAATGCATAACTGACAAATACTAACTGATTACATAGTAAAGCTGAACAGTATCACAGCACATCAATTTCACAGCTCACAGTAACATCATCATTCTATAAAGACGTTCTCAAGTCAGGTAGACTTGACCTAACCCATGTGTACCCCATACTGTGGAAAGCAGTTACATATTTAAAACCCGTTTTACCACCTTCTGGAATGTAAAACCAGAGAGGGTTTTCTTACAATCAAGATATAGATTAGGAATACCTTAAGAAAGCATCATTCAGTCTATTATTACCTACGCTATTATCAAATGCATTCCTATGCTGACAAACATACACAAAAAAACATGACAAACTCTGAAAAAAGGAAATCAAAATGTATAACATGGAAAAAATAATCTAAATTTTGAGACCTAAATGGGAAGTTGTCACAGCAATTGATGACCAAATTAAACTAGATAAAGTAGATATAATTCACAAACAAAGAAATAAAGTCCTGTAATGACACTCCCTAGACTGGAAATTGAAAGATATGGTTTCTAGACTAAAGCTAAACACAAAATGAGTAATTGTTTTTCCTGGATTTTATTTAAGTAGCTGGAACTTTTGCATGACATGTTTTAAGGCTTTCAACCATCAGAACACATAATCAACCACAGAGCATCGAAGTCTGTCAGTGTGCCATATGTTTCACTCAGTTCTGTGCTACCTCATTATTACCAGGGTCGTTAAGGTTACCGGTGTTCCTGAATCTAGTTAATGTCTTAACTCACTAAAGTAACATAAATGCACATTACAAACTTTAAAAAGGTTAAGCCTTGTAAACCACTTCAATTCCACGCTGTGGCCAATGGCTTACGTTTTCACTTCATAGCACAATTAAAGAACAACTTTGCAGAAAATTCTTGCACTATAAGATAGATGGCTAGAATAGGCTGTAAACCAGATTTTTCCGAAAACAGTACGGTGTGCAGAGTACTGGTACATCTTAAAACTTCAAACTGGCCACTGTTCTCTGCAGGCAAACGGTGAAGTCACTGATTTGCTCAACTCATACAACAACAAAGGAAATACTGATATTGAAATACTGACACAATCAGACCTGACCATTAAGTTTTATAAAACACAGTGCCAATTATTCCATACATTACAACAAAAGCAGTGTAATGTCAGTGCTTTTTTAAATAAACATGCATCTATTAGTATCACAGGATCAGGGCATTAGGCAAGTCAGTAGATGATTGTACTGTTGAGCTTCATAAGGGTTAACTAATGTTAATCACACGCAGGCCTCTGTACACGCGTTCAGAAGGCTGCTGACGTCGCCACGACGCTCTAAAGCAGGGCTGGCTCCTTCTTCAGGGATCCTTCATTCAACCATCTGGATTAAGCGAATGGGATCAATTAGAAGGAACTGCAGCAGGGTACAAGCGGTCTGAAAGGTTTCCTCTTTAGATCATAAAAAGCCAGTGTCACACTGGTCTGATCACAGCAGCTGCTTATATGCCAAGACCTACACCAGGTGGGACAGAACCTTGGTTCATCATCCATAAGAAACACTGCAGAAGAACAAGAGCTTTTATCAGTCAATTAATGCTGCCCCATCATACACTATGGGATTGAGAAAAAAAGTTAAAATTCACAGTCAAAACTTTGTATTGGGTACTGGCACAACTTTAAAAGCACCGACATCCCAGGAGCCAAACGAAATTCACTTTTTACACTGTGATACAGCACAAAACAAAACTCTTAAGTAAGGGATACCTACAATAATATTAATACACCTTTGTAATGTTCAAGTAAACAGAAAAGAAAATGGAAATTCACATTGCCGGTTTAATTATTCAGAGAATGAACAAATGGTGTGGTGACAAAAACAATATTTGTTTCAGGTATAACGGCAGGCCAGCAGCTTTAGGTTTCTGGTACTAGAAAATTATGGTGAGGTACGGCCTTGTTTTACCTGAATATTTTAGTATCATGTATACAAAGTCTTCCTAGGATTTGGTGTGCTTACTGATTTTGTACTCATGCCGACCCCCCCCTTTGCGTGTTTTACATACACCACACTAACAAAAGCTGTAAACATTGCCCCTCATTATCAGTTGTTCCAAAAATGAAATAAACATTTCGAAACATACCTGTCTCAGCTTTAGCAAGCAGATAAACGATTACATGTTTCAAGTTCACCGAGTTCACCCAGCTTACAGCAAGCATTACTAAATGTTTAGTCTATAAAGTTTTGTTTAAAATGTTTTTCGTTATTGGAGAATTTCAGGATCTTTGCACAGGACAGGACTGAATTGTAACCATCCTGATAAGTGAACTGGTATTTAAAACTGGGTAACATACCCCCCTTTTTTCTTACTAGCCCCTGTCCAATCAACAGTTGTCATAAAAAACTGCCCTAGCGCTGAATTTTATGCGTCAATGTTTCAATATAACATGTTACATAACATGTCTTAATGATCATTTATATTTTCTGCAGTAAAGGGAGGATGTACAAAGACAGAATTTCATTATAGAGCGAAACTGCTTGTTTTCTGTGCATACGACAACTCTATATAACTCTATAACTATAATACACCAGTGACAGGACAAATAAGGAAAGCGGGAAAGTTATTGTAAATGACCTTTCTTTGTGCAAACGGGATTTTCCAATGTGTGTCCTGGAACCCATAACTAAGTACATATTTATATAGGCACAAACGGTAATATGAACTTCATTATAATTGTGCTTCTTTAGAAGCATTCTCTAAAAGCGGATTTTATGAAGCACGCAATGAACTAAATGTAATACCTTCATGAATGTTTCAATTTTCCTCAAATTTATTTTGAACTGCAAATCTGAACCATTAATTTCCTTGCAGTCTAGAGTTTACCACCTCTTACTGTAATGTGAAACATAAAAAGGCAGGCTATGAACTCATACTGTAAACAGATAAACCACAGGAATACATGACGTTTTCTAGTAAACGCATTTGATACCATTCAAGAGTAATAAAATTACGACTCCACCGTCTGCATTTCATTCCAACAGATATGGGGGAAAAAATAAATAGATAATAGATATCTTCAACAAAAGTGTGTAGAGCTCTATAAACGTTTAGCAGTGTTTAAAGAAAGAGAGATTGCGTCAATGTGGTGGGTTTTTTAAAGCCAACCAGCAAGACGAAATGCATGATATAAACGTAAGGCGGGTACAGTACGCTGGCAGCAGCGGGACGTAATGCAGCCGTGCAGGACAGCCGCATTGGGGGGGAAGTTAGGCTCACCTACAGGCATGAGACGATCAAAACAGTACAACAAAACACACAAAGTCACCCAAGGTTGCTCACTAAAACACAACAGATATTGTAACATGATACGCAATATTTTTCATATCCGAAAACAGACTCCCTGAAAACGACCGTCGGACAGCTGCATCTGAGAGCACGACATGCTGAATGAAACCCTGAAATTGCTGAATGAACCGATCCAAACTTCAAGATGTGCGCTGTGTCGCACCTGGTACTGGCGTTTTTACACGACTTTCTTTATAAATGCATGCAATAACACACACAGCTGTCCTCGTTATACGATCTAACGCGAGAAACCCTCGTAACGAAGCCAAATTATGGACCACCGATCACTCGATTAATATTTAACAAGGGATCAACCAAAAAAAACACGACAAAAACAAAAAGCGTGGCGTCAGCGAGGTGCCCAGATGCGGACTTACTGTACCTGGTTGAGGTCTTGGTCGGTCAGGAGGTGCAGCTCCCGGGGCTTGAAGCAGTTCTGGCATTTGCTCTTATTGAAAATGTTCGCCTGAAACTTCCTACAGGGATTCTCCTTCGCCGTAGACATTTTCCCTCTTCCGATCCGACCGAGGTCACTTAGGACTGAAACAACCGCAAATTACACTCGCAGGGGACAGCCTCGTTAGACCTTCGCCGCTCTATCTGTGTAATACTTTATCCACTTTGGAGCAGGGCCTTTACCATCCAGTGCATGATCCAAACAACATCTTTTGACTATTTATGCAGGTAAAACACCCAGTCTTCAGCGTCTCCTATCTCCTGGCAGTATCTCCCCGCAGTTTCCTCTCTTGTACTGGCCGGTTATGGAGAACAAGCTAATCGCAGCCCTTGCCCTAGTCCATGGCCTGCGTTCAAAGCCACTCGCTCGCTAGCTGCCCGGCTAGCTGTCCTCTCCGTAACTGTCCTGCTACAAAATCAACACGCCGATCCCTACTTCTTTTCTTTCTTTCTTTTTTAAATTCGTACCCAGAGTTAACCCCTCTGCTCCGACGTCCCCCGCAAACAGGACGGTCCCATCTGTGTATAGCCACGAAAAGAGCCGGGAGATGTAAACAACCCCAGGTATAGTTTAGCTGCTTTTAACTTTTAAGCTCGCCACTATTCGAGCCAGCTAATAGAAAAATCCCCACCCCCGAACCCCCTAGCTAGTCGTTTAAAATGAGCCCTTTTCGCTGGTTCCAGTTCGCTCCTGCATTACAAGCAGCGTCAGTCCCGCGGGCTAACCGTCCGTCCCCCGCGGGAACATGCCCCAGAAACGGGAGAGTGGCGTCGCGCGTCCTGCCGAATAATTCAGTCAAAAGCGTGTTTTCTGTCGGTTTGTTTCAGTTACTAAGTTCCAGCGTCCGTCTCCTTTTTCTTTTCTGTGTGTGTGTGCGTGCGTGTGTGTGTGTTCAGACCAGACCTTTCCCAATGGGAGGAAGGAGGGAGGGAGGTCGCTTACAGATTTGCTGCTGGAATTTCATGGTATCTCGCGAGACTGCACCAGCTCGCCATCTTAGTGTCTCGAGGCGGGAGGGGGTCACAGCTATTTCATAATAGGGCTGGAGTTAATTATGGGGCCATGTGACTCCCACGTCCCGGATCCCTTTCAGTGGCGCTGGAACAAAACNATTTTTCCAGTACTTAAAAATGCAATTTATTTCACAATCTAGATGATTACTACTAACTGGAAGTGTTTAAGGTATTTTGTAACCTGTTGGTGACGTTAAGAAAACAAAAGCTGCAAACATATAGCCAAATCTAGTACAGAATTCAAAACAATAGAAGGAAAATGTGGGAATCCTAGTAACGTATACAATTTACATTCTACAGCCAGAAGCCTCTCACCAGCATCTTAAGACCCCATAAGGAGGGAAACTGGAGGAGGACAAGGTAAGAGAAGATGAAGAGGCAAGGTGTTTGGGGGGTGATCAGGAAGGACTGTTTGCTTTGGCTAAGTGTTCCAAAGAACAAAAAAGCAATGTGAAAATCGTTCCTTGATGGAACATTCTCCTTACGTGACTACAGGCAACCCATCCCATTAGAGATGAGAGGCTGTTTCACTGCTACCATCCAAGAAAGGCACCCACAGCCTAAGCTGGAGACTTTAACCAAGCCCTGAGCAGCTCTACAAGCGTGATGCAGTTCCACGCCCCCAGCCTCCACTTACATCACCTCCACCTTCAGTTAACACACCACAATCCCAAGAAATATTTGTGAGGGAAATCAAATGTCCAACACTTCACTGGCATCATAAGCTGTGACTTCCTACTGCACACAGACAACTGCAGAAGCATGAGCAAAAAGGTGGGAATATGAAATGGTATTAATGTCAGTTGCTTCAAGGTAACTGCTCCAATTTTACAAATACTGAAGTCTGCAAAGAAGAAAAGCCAATCTGATATTTAAGTTCTCTATGATCTGCTTTTCACATTCGACAGCTGATGCTGAATAATGTGGGATGAAAGAACCATCAATTTAAACTTAAATCTTGTGAGGATTTTCAGTCAGCTAAGTGCCTTCTGCTCGCTCAGATTTAGAAGTACTATTACATACAGTAAAAGCTCTCATATCTGATAGTCAAAAAAATTGGCAAAAATCTAAAACATAAGGATAAAAATTAAATATTCATAATAAGTAATGACACCTCTATTAAACATTTACAAACTTAAAATAACAAAGAACAACATTAAGCAATACATGTCAGTTCCGGCACATTCCTACAGTGTGGCACGCTTTACAAGTCGGATTACAGTAGTGTCACTGCAACATGTTAAAATAACAGTACAATAATCATTAGCGTGTGCATAAAAGAGTAACAAACCTGTTATAATCCGGTGTTTTTCAAGAGTAACATTCAACTACCTGAAAAATTCAGCTATCTGGCAGCGCCTCAGTCCTGACTTGTCATACGAGAACTTTTACAGTATAATCATACCGTTTTCATATTTAACAATTAGCCTGACACTAATAGAAACCTCCACTCCTTTGACAATTTTTATTTTATAGCTATTTTGACGATTAGCTATTTAAAACTGATGTACATTACCCATGCAGACAGTCATGAAGTCCTAATCTTAGCTTGAAACACTGACTATGAAGCTAGTGTTTCATACACTCCTTGTTTAAAGAGGGCTATGACCTGTCCTCCCAGGCCAGACACACAAATGCACCAAACACATCCCCTTTTCATGGAAGTGGAATAAACTGTAGTGCCATCATTGAAATTCTGTTGCAGGAAGCCGATGAACACAACTATTCATTTGTAGGAATGACGCAGACTGATTTTCTCCATGAAATCATCTTAAAATCAGCAAATGACAGGTAGTTATCAGCAAGCCCCTAGATTAATGCATAACTGACAAATACTAACTGATTACATAGTAAAGCTGAACAGTATCACAGCACATCAATTTCACAGCTCACAGTAACATCATCATTCTATAAAGACGTTCTCAAGTCAGGTAGACTTGACCTAACCCAGGTGTACCCCATACTGTGGAAAGCAGTTACATATTTAAAACCCGTTTTACCACCTTCTGGAATGTAAAACCAGAGAGGGTTTTCTTACAATCAAGATATAGATTAGGAATACCTTAAGAAAGCATCATTCAGTCTATTATTACCTACGCTATTATCAAATGCATTCCTATGCTGACAAACATACACAAAAAAACATGACAAACTCTGAAAAAAGGAAATCAAAATGTATAACATGGAAAAAATAATCTAAATTTTGAGACCTAAATGGGAAGTTGTCACAGCAATTGATGACCAAATTAAACTAGATAAAGTAGATATAATTCACAAACAAAGAAATAAAGTCCTGTAATGACACTCCCTAGACTGGAAATTGAAAGATATGGTTTCTAGACTAAAGCTAAACACAAAATGAGTAATTGTTTTTCCTGGATTTTATTTAAGTAGCTGGAACTTTTGCATGACATGTTTTAAGGCTTTCAACCATCAGAACACATAATCAACCACAGAGCATCGAAGTCTGTCAGTGTGCCATATGTTTCACTCAGTTCTGTGCTACCTCATTATTACCAGGGTCGTTAAGGTTACCGGTGTTCCTGAATCTAGTTAATGTCTTAACTCACTAAAGTAACATAAATGCACATTACAAACTTTAAAAAGGTTAAGCCTTGTAAACCACTTCAATTCCACGCTGTGGCCAATGGCTTACGTTTTCACTTCATAGCACAATTAAAGAACAACTTTGCAGAAAATTCTTGCACTATAAGATAGATGGCTAGAATAGGCTGTAAACCAGATTTTTCCGAAAACAGTACGGTGTGCAGAGTACTGGTACATCTTAAAACTTCAAACTGGCCACTGTTCTCTGCAGGCAAACGGTGAAGTCACTGATTTGCTCAACTCATACAACAACAAAGGAAATACTGATATTGAAATACTGACACAATCAGACCTGACCATTAAGTTTTATAAAACACAGTGCCAATTATTCCATACATTACAACAAAAGCAGTGTAATGTCAGTGCTTTTTTAAATAAACATGCATCTATTAGTATCACAGGATCAGGGCATTAGGCAAGTCAGTAGATGATTGTACTGTTGAGCTTCATAAGGGTTAACTAATGTTAATCACACGCAGGCCTCTGTACACGCGTTCAGAAGGCTGCTGACGTCGCCACGACGCTCTAAAGCAGGGCTGGCTCCTTCTTCAGGGATCCTTCATTCAACCATCTGGATTAAGCGAATGGGATCAATTAGAAGGAACTGCAGCAGGGTACAAGCGGTCTGAAAGGTTTCCTCTTTAGATCATAAAAAGCCAGTGTCACACTGGTCTGATCACAGCAGCTGCTTATATGCCAAGACCTACACCAGGTGGGACAGAACCTTGGTTCATCATCCATAAGAAACACTGCAGAAGAACAAGAGCTTTTATCAGTCAATTAATGCTGCCCCATCATACACTATGGGATTGAGAAAAAAAGTTAAAATTCACAGTCAAAACTTTGTATTGGGTACTGGCACAACTTTAAAAGCACCGACATCCCAGGAGCCAAACGAAATTCACTTTTTACACTGTGATACAGCACAAAACAAAACTCTTAAGTAAGGGATACCTACAATAATATTAATACACCTTTGTAATGTTCAAGTAAACAGAAAAGAAAATGGAAATTCACATTGCCGGTTTAATTATTCAGAGAATGAACAAATGGTGTGGTGACAAAAACAATATTTGTTTCAGGTATAACGGCAGGCCAGCAGCTTTAGGTTTCTGGTACTAGAAAATTATGGTGAGGTACGGCCTTGTTTTACCTGAATATTTTAGTATCATGTATACAAAGTCTTCCTAGGATTTGGTGTGCTTACTGATTTTGTACTCATGCCGACCCCCCCCTTTGCGTGTTTTACATACACCACACTAACAAAAGCTGTAAACATTGCCCCTCATTATCAGTTGTTCCAAAAATGAAATAAACATTTCGAAACATACCTGTCTCAGCTTTAGCAAGCAGATAAACGATTACATGTTTCAAGTTCACCGAGTTCACCCAGCTTACAGCAAGCATTACTAAATGTTTAGTCTATAAAGTTTTGTTTAAAATGTTTTTCGTTATTGGAGAATTTCAGGATCTTTGCACAGGACAGGACTGAATTGTAACCATCCTGATAAGTGAACTGGTATTTAAAACTGGGTAACATACCCCCCTTTTTTCTTACTAGCCCCTGTCCAATCAACAGTTGTCATAAAAAACTGCCCTAGCGCTGAATTTTATGCGTCAATGTTTCAATATAACATGTTACATAACATGTCTTAATGATCATTTATATTTTCTGCAGTAAAGGGAGGATGTACAAAGACAGAATTTCATTATAGAGCGAAACTGCTTGTTTTCTGTGCATACGACAACTCTATATAACTCTATAACTATAATACACCAGTGACAGGACAAATAAGGAAAGCGGGAAAGTTATTGTAAATGACCTTTCTTTGTGCAAACGGGATTTTCCAATGTGTGTCCTGGAACCCATAACTAAGTACATATTTATATAGGCACAAACGGTAATATGAACTTCATTATAATTGTGCTTCTTTAGAAGCATTCTCTAAAAGCGGATTTTATGAAGCACGCAATGAACTAAATGTAATACCTTCATGAATGTTTCAATTTTCCTCAAATTTATTTTGAACTGCAAATCTGAACCATTAATTTCCTTGCAGTCTAGAGTTTACCACCTCTTACTGTAATGTGAAACATAAAAAGGCAGGCTATGAACTCATACTGTAAACAGATAAACCACAGGAATACATGACGTTTTCTAGTAAACGCATTTGATACCATTCAAGAGTAATAAAATTACGACTCCACCGTCTGCATTTCATTCCAACAGATATGGGGGAAAAAATAAATAGATAATAGATATCTTCAACAAAAGTGTGTAGAGCTCTATAAACGTTTAGCAGTGTTTAAA